TAAAACAATTGTAGGGAATAGTATTTCAGTGTTGGTCTATGATTGGTGAGTAAGTTTAAAAATGTGTTAAAAATTTAACATTTTCCCTGTGCTTACCTACATTTCGTATTAACGTTAAATACTTAAATAACATACTAAAATAAACGACTAAAATTAGATTTCGAAAAATACTATAGTTTTTAAGTAGTAAATACCATTTTTATAACAATAAAGGTGAACATAAAGTAGGTATCCTACTTAAAAGCAATATTTAATTTTAAACAGCATCAATCAGTACATATCAACAGTTATTCATTTTATCTACAATCCAGTCGACAAAATATGACACCCATACATTAATATACTAATTCACCTGGATATTCTGGTTCACCGCAGTTAAGTCGACCACAAACCCACCAGATCATATTGACAAAAACTTGGTCTATGATGCGATAAGACTGGCAGCAGATGGGTTGAATGAACTCTATATTAAAAAAGAGTTAAGTGTAATATAATGCAATCCAATATATGTATATGACACCCTAGTTTATACACATGGATATTCTGGTTCACAGCAGTTAAGTCGAAAAGTGAAAAACCACCAAATAATTTGTTATTATATTGATTATGTTTGGATATAATGAAGTATAGAAATTAAGTAATTGTTGAGATCTCGAGAAACAAATGCAAACTAATTTTGAGTTACCAATATTTTATCATACGTGCACATTCATTCCAATGTAGTAGGTATATAAACATATAGGGACTATCTACAATTTTCAATCTACTACATTGGTTGGTAAATTATACCAATATCGTTTACAGTCAAGTTAGCTGACTATAGTTTTAAACAAAAATTTAACAGATAGTTCATGTTCAGATATTAAAACTTTCAGATAAAGAGTTGTTTGGATCCCAGTTGATAAAAATAAATAATTAAATCAATGTTGAAATAGTTTTTGATTACTAAATAATTATTAAACTTGGGTAGCTTATAATAAAATTCAACATTTAAGTAGAATTGTTTAATAATAATATAATAATATTATAAGTACTTAAAATACCTATAATACACTAAATCATAATACAAGTATGTTTTAATCTCAGTTTTAATACTTTTTTTGGTTTGAAAAAATTAAAAACTAAACTATTATGTAGTAACTTAAACTTCACTTTACTATATACATTTTAATTATAATATTTATTATATTTCAAAAATCTTGCCTTTAGGATATTATTACACTATTTTTTATGTTGTCACTCACTACTAATATTTGAACTGTAACAAATTATTGTGTAATTCAAAAGTTGTTACTTGGAAATGATTTCAAGTTATCTAAGCTGATTGAAATTAATTGTATTTATTTTTAATTACACTATATCAATTTGGTATTATAAGTCTTTTTATGGATACAAAAAATTAACTACCAACAAATTATTTAACTAACAATTAATAAATTATAAGATAATTTATATTCATTAACTCATTCTTATAATAAGTATTAGGTATAAACATAATAAAACTAATAATACGTGATAACACAAATAAAATAAACTAATAAAATATAAATGGAATCTTTAACATTATACATTACATATTTAAATACAATTAAAAAAAGGTGGGCAAGTGGGTGTCGCTCTGCTGTACAGTAGGTTACAAGTGGGTCACTGTATAATGGATGGTATTAAATTTGAATTCAATGATATAATATCATTGTATAAGAAAAACGATTCTGAGCGGTGACGGTATGTCAGTCTATGTATAAGACATATTATATACATATCTATGGTATTAAACAAAAAATTGAAATATAATAGGTACCTATAATAAATTCCAAATTAATCATATCACAATATCCATTAGATACTTATAACACGTTATACATCAACAAAAACCGTGATACTATCATAGATATATAATAGTACACTTTAGAAGTTTCAAGTACCCACGAATAATATTATTCAATCACAACAAAATAACTAAAATAGTTATTCTAGGTTTTTTAATATGTAATTTCGTCCAAATTTGAATTTAAAATGTCTGTAAAAAATAAGTGTGTTCATATATTTTTTAGATTTTTTGGTTACAGTATGAATTATTTACGAGAACCTTTGTGTTGAATTTGCAATCCTTAGCTATAAAAACTGAACATTTTATAATTTATTAATTACAATGATTGATAATTTTCGAGATTTTGATAAATTTTGTCAAAATTTGATCTTTAAATGCTTATAAAAAAAAACTGTGCCTATGTATTTTTAATATTTTTCAACTGCTATTGTAACAATATATCAGGAGCCTTGTATTAAATTTTTACACTTTTTGGCCCAACAGATAAAACTTTATTGATATTTATAGAAAAAAAAACTAAAAAAAATTGAAAGCTGTAAATATCCATAAACATCTCAAAAAGAGTCAAAATATTTTCAAAATTGTATGGTGTATAGAAAATGCTAATTTAAACATTGAGTGAAATTTTCATGTATCTACAGTTGTTCGTTTTTGAATTGCAACAAAATAAGGAAATCGCTACATGAGTAATCGAGTGAATATCCAATGTTGTGAAAGTTTGAATTTAAAATGCTCATAAAAATTTAATTTGACTTTCTTATAGAATTTTTTTTTTTTTGATAAAAGTAGGAAATCCTATAAGGAATCTTGTATTACATTTTCATTTTTTAGATTTAAAAAGAAAAATTTTTACGAATTCTTAACTCAAAATAATTTGCTAATTTTCGTGATTTTTCCATAATTTGTAAATTTTTGAACTTTAAATGCTTATAAAAAAAAATTGTGACTAAGGATTTTTAATATTTTTCATCTGCCTTTAAAACATCATATTAGGAGCCTTCTATTAAATTTTCAAGCTTTCGCAACCAACAAATAAAATTTTATTGATATTTCTAGAAAAAAAACTAAAAAAAAATGAAAAATGAAAATGTCCCTAAACAGTTCAAAATAAATCAAAATATTTTGAAAATGTTATCGTGTATAGAAAATGCGAATATAAACAACCAGTGAAAATTTCATGTATCTACGGTCATTTGTTTTAAAGTTACACCAAAAACCAAATTCGATTTTTTGGAAAATCGATTTTGGGTAAAAATTCCCGTTTTTCCTTAATTTTTATGTTGTTTTTCCCGGCGCTTGTGAAAACTACTGGAAAATGTTTACTTTTGACCTCCCAAAGTACCAACTAGATTCACTTTCCTATCAGAAAAGATACTGTTGGAGAAAATCGAAGCACTTTTACTGTCCCAAAACGTGATGACAGACACAAAAATATAAAAATATAAAAATATAAAAATATAAAAACACACATCATTGTAAAACCAATACATTCATCGCTCCACTCAGAATCTAAAACAGTGGTTAACTAGGTATATGAATCTATTATATATTTATATTTATGCTATTAATACTATTACTTAAGTTGAAAACAATAACTTTTAAGTCATTATATATAATTTATATGTATATAGTCTTTACTCATCACTCATTACTAAAACATAATATAATATAATATAATATGATAATAGTTACAACATAATGCAATAAAATTATATAGGTAGTAACTTAAATATAAATTTAATTAAACATTTAAGATAAAAAAAAAATAAAGATTAATATTAAGAATTATATAGTTACTGTTTATAAATATTGTAATTTTATAAAGTAATTATCATATTTAAATTGTGTATGCTATAAATTGACAACCAACTGCAATAGTTGTATGTCTCACTGTTCTAGGGGTAAGCTGTAAGTCATCATATCTATTCCACGAGTTGTCCATTTCACACCAGCAGTAACATACATAATGTCCAATAGCTTCCCTGCCTTTGGAAATTGGTGCTATGAAACTGATGACAACTCTGAGAGTAAATCTTTTATTAGAAATTGTAATTTTTTGTGGAAGAGTTGATAATGTCAATGGAAGGTCAAAGACCAAAGTGTTGAACATTTCGTTAATGTTCAGAAGTAGTTGCACATATTTCTATAAATATTAGATTCCCAATTTTTTTATAGGTCTGCACATAAATTCCATCTCTTATAGCGTTAGCTACTAAGATATAAAGTGTTTTGGATATATTTAAGTCAATAAATTGTGCTTATGTAACACTATCTGTATAGGATGAACATAGAATTTGAAATATGCTATCAAACCTACAGGTATTTGTCAAAGAGTAATTTGTCCCATCAACCAAGTTACTTTTTAAGTCTTGAATATTTCCATTTCTTAATATACCAATTATTGGACTTTTGGTTTTACTGTTATCATTGTAGAACAGAATACTTCTATCTGGAGTTGAATAGGTAATTATTTTTTATATACTTTGCCGGCTTTCCTTGACCTCTCCAGTTTTCTACTTCATTTATATTGTCATATGTATGGTGTTGACCGATACTGTTGTCACTGTGTTCATTTTTGTGTTCCTTCTTTTTCTCTTTTTCACTTTGGTCATCTTCACTATTATTATACCCAGGTTTTCCTTTTATGAGTTTCATTGAACCCATAATAAAACTTACATGATTTTCAAACAATTCATCTAGCCGAATTGGTAAAATCTTATGTTTGAAAACTTTTTTTTTTAATTCATTAAATAAACTCTCTGATGTTAAACTCGACTCTGTGGACTTGCCATATAAAAATTATAGTGTCATTATTGCTGACCATGTTGGTAGGTACTTACAAAAATTCAATAAATTTTTTTGCAATATTTTTACTGGCGGATTGCATATTGTCGTGACTTTCTTTATTTGTCTTGAGCGAATCTTCTAAACAAGACTCATAAATATTTTTTATAACATTAAATATATTGGTAGTGCCGTCTTCTTCTAATATATAATCATAACTAATGTCAACTAATTCATCTAGTATAGTGAATTTGTTCCATCTATGCAGTCTGCTGCCATAGTAATATTATCCGCAGTTCTGTGTTTGAGATAGTTCTTTGCATTCTCACATTGTGTTGGTGCTTTATCTAAATCAAATCTTAAAGTAGAATATTGAGTGAATGCCTTAGCCACTGCATTCATTAATGCTAACGACTGATCCGTCACAACAATTTTTGGTGTAACAATATTGCTCCTTAACCACTCTGTCAGCCAATAACTGGTACTGTTGAATCAAGTCTTTCTGATAGCATATGGGCTGCAGAAACTGGCATTTGTTTTTGTAATCCATTATGCCAATGTCATATAAAAATTTTCTTACCAATCCTCCTGTAGCATCTATTGTTATTCTTGGTATTTTTTTTTTTGTATATACCGTGTAGGTATTTATTTCAGTTGATGTCCAATAATGTAAGAAGAAACGGTCGTAACCCATATTGTAAATTATTATATTGTAATTTACTGTGTTCTTAAGCAAAGATAAAGCTGTGATTAAATCTTGATGAATATGACTTTTTTGAAAAACTTTATGTTTCATTACCCTTAGAGCATTTAATGTTGGTATGTTGACAGGCTCTTGATCACCATATTCCATTATTCAATTTGCTTATAGTTTTTGGATGTACGAAGCTGACATATTTTGCTTATATATTTTTTCTAAAAATTCATGTCTATTTTGTCCTATGAGTCTCTTTTTCTTTCTACTTCTACAACTTTCAAAAGTACCACTATATGTACACAGAATCAAAACTCTTGTATTTGGTTCTGGTAGATTCTGAACTATACTATTGAATGTACTGCTGCACACTAAACAATGGCACTTGATAATTAAAAAAATATTTCCAGTCGGACATATTTTTGCTGTTTTATATACTATTGGGCATGTTTTTTTTGTGTGGTCAAAAAATATTCATGAATCAATGGACTCCATTCATTTTAAGTTAATACAGCATAAGCTCGAAATGAGTTTCCCGGTCACTTCTTTTATACAAATACCTTTCTGCTTTGTAAATTTTATTCCACTCATCAGAAGAAAATGTAATAGTAAATTTAATTTGTTCATCTTCACAGACTTTGAATCACTTGATAGAACTGGAGTAAAATTTACTTGAACAGTTGAACTTCATTAGTACTGTCAGGGCCGTCCCGAACAACAATTCATGGGGGGGGGGGGGTGGTAGATCTATTAATTTGACGACTGAAAAATTTTTTTCTCGCTTCGCTCGAATACGTTTTCTACTATATTATATTTATATTTATATTATTATTTAATTTATACCATTTATTTATGACCATCAGGGTTTCTTCGACAAATACCAACCCACAAACACACATGTAAATATGTAATGTGTCACTTAACCAACCGTAATTCCCCTCACAAATAGTTGCCAATGGTTAAGACCAATAAACGAAGAAATTTCTTTACTTTATTAGTTGCTCATGTGAAAATAAAAATATTAGGTACCTAACAATTTATCGTAATTTTACAACTTCCACATTCTATTTACCCAAATTAATACAAATGTGTATTTTAAATCTTAATTAAGAAAATGTTATAAGTATAATATCAGTTTTAAACAAAATATTTTTATTAATACAAATTATAATATTATTATACATACAATGAGATATTAATTCTACGGTTTTTCAAAGTTGCCCATAATGTTGCTATTTTGTTCATATCTAATTGATCAACCACATATTTTTCCACGCTTAAAATCATAAGTGAATCCAATCTATCATCAGCTATAGATGATCTTAAATTATTTTTTATTAGTCGGAGTTTGCTAAATGATCAGAACACTCAACGTTAACATCTATAGCAGTAGATGATGTTGGTGTTTCATGGGTAACATCAAAGAATGGCATATCAAGTGATTCTGGTGTCTAAAAAAACAATAAATCAATATTTAATAAATAAATCTTGGGATAATTATAATTATCATAATTAGTAGGAAGATACAAATATACAATTGTAAAAATATATTATTCATAGTACATAGGTATCTCATAAAATAATTTGTGATAATTTTACAGCTAACAATTTCATACATGATAAATTTTTAAATACCTTTGGTGGAAGATGGTTCAAATTAATATTTGTAAAACAACTTTTTTCCAGTGGTCTCTGGGTATTTTGAATCTAATAAATGAGAACAAAAAAAAAATGATTAGGTACCTTAGTACCTGCCTATATCTACTTACATAAATATTAATACAATTTACTAATTTTTATTTGTTAATAACATAATACTGATAGTTAGTATTATTTATTTTAAGTACTTTAAGTATTTTTACTTACTTGTTTTGAATTTGATTTAGAAGCTTCGAATGGATTTTTAGGAGCACCAAAATGTTTGGTACCGACTTTTTTACCATTATGTATATTTTTTTCATGTTTTTGCTTATAATCATTGTCAAATGTTTTGCCACATTCCAAGCACTCTAATTTAATCCGCTTTCGTTTGCCGGAATTTGTTTCATTTTTATTGCCAAAATTCATGATTATTTAAACAGTAAAATGCAAAATTATATGAATAATAAGAAAAAATAATCACATAATATTAAAATTATAATAAATAGAAGACAGTTAATAACAGTTAATTTATAGTAGGTAGCTACAGAACACGTTACCACTAACCTCGGACGAATAGTCGAATAGACGAGTAGTCAGTAGACGACAACTGATAACTATCGACTGCAAATGTGCAACAAATTTCAAGAATAATAAAATAATATTTTATAGTACCAAGAATAAGTCAATACATACGACTACGGGTAACAGTTTACATACTTACGTGTTGTACAACAGTCGAGCAATGCACTAGTAGATAGTAGATAAACACATATATTTTTAGCACTCGGTGTAATCGAAGTGTCGACGTCGTCGTCGTCTTATCTTTTATAGAAATATAATATTATATACAAATATATTTTGAAAATAATAAAAATACTATTAAAATACTGACGATGCCAAATTGCCGACAACTTTTACCAAGTGTCCAATTTGCAGACTAAATATTTAAAAAATCATGAGTGGGGGGGGGGGGGGGGGGGGGGGGGGGGTTAGACACCCCCCCACGCCCCCCTCAAAGGACGGCCCTGAGTACTGTTGACATGTTCATCGTCTATCATCAGTTTATTTAGTATATTACATCAGTTTCCTTTACTACTGTGTAAATGTATTTATATAATAAAAAATTATCAAGATCTGCTGCTATTTCTTTCCAACATTGTTGTGAAGGTCCCAATATCATTTTAGAGCAACTGTAAAATACATGTTCCGTATCCACAATTGCTCGAATCAGTCTATCGTTTTCAACAACTGGCTTTTTTGGCATTTTAAATGTTAAAATCCTAAAAAGTTAAAAAAATATTAATATTTATAAATATAAAATCAGGTCAATAAACTAATAAAAATCTTCCAGATAACAGAAAATAATAAATTGAACATAATATTATGAAGAAGTTAGAAGATATATTTTAGATATTATAGAAGAAAGAAAAAAAAGATATGTTAAGCAGACAATGGACTACAAAGGCATTAATTATTTAGATAAACCTAAATCTTAACAAAATATTTTTTTTAAAAATGTATTACATCAAGTCTATGGTTGTTGTAGCTTTTAAGTATTTAAATTAAATATAAATGCATATACGAGTAATTAACTAACAAAGTGCCTTCACTGGAAAGCTTCTTTAATCAGTTTTTTTCAAGCCATATTATTTCTCTTTTCTACTAATTATTCTATATTGTAATAGTTTGTAGACTATAACATAATTAAGAATAAAAAATATGTGTTTTAATTTTTATACCTATCAACGATGAATAAGTAATAATATTATAATATGTTGATTATGAAATTATATTATTTTAGTACCAACCTTCATAATATAATAAGTTGTATGCAATTATCTGTTGCCCAGTATATTGAATCATCAAAATAAAAATTATTTTATGAATTGTTTAATATTATCATGTATTATTTCACATTAAACTAAAATGAATTGTTTAATATTATTAGGGCGCGGATTTTTATGTAAATACATATTTTTATTGAATGCAGATATCATTGTCCTGATTAAAAATAAGCACGTTTCATAACACCCTGAATAAAATGACAATTTTTTATGTTACATATTTTCACATATTTGGTTGTAAATACATATTTCTAAATATTTTATTAATAAGTACATATTTTGCAAATATTTCATATTTTATAAATGTAGGTGCTTATTAAATTTCCAGAAATGTTAAAATTAACCATCTATCGACTTTATCGATGTCGCGCGTCGTAAATTTGATGTCACCATATCGGTTAGTGTTAGTATTATTCAGTCTGCTGTTGTGCTGTTGTGCGTGTATAATCGTGTATATTCAAACAATTTTGAAAAAATTAAAGACGTCATTTCAAATCTTGATTCGGATAATGCAATTTCTATTGCAAAAGCAAAAGATATTATGCAAAATAACGAGCTAAAAAATAATTTAGCATATATTTTAGCAAACTTTTGTTTTTTGGTTGAAGTCATAAAAAAATTAGAAACATCGAATCTCACATTAGTTGAAAGCCTAGAAATAGTGGAAAATGCAGCAAATACACTTAGTGAAGTCCAAGGAAAATCTGGAGTTATAATAAAAAATAAATTAAATGACGTACTAGCTAAAAATGTTGGTTTACAACACATAAAAACTATTAGAAATATTCTTCTAAATACAAATGAAAACAATCAATGGATATTGAATTTGCACCATCTGATATATCAAATATGAAATATGCCCCATTAACCTCAGTTGACGTGGAACGCTCTTTCAGCAGATACAAGTCAATTTTAAGACCTAACCGCCGCACTTTTAAATTTGAAAATCTCCAAATGTAGGTACATTGTTTCAAACTGTTTCGAAGACGACTGCAATGAAGATGAATAAATTAAAGTACAAAAAAAAATATGTTATGTAACAGAATTCTATATCTTTATTACATTTTTTAGATGATTATTGATTAAAAATTAATTAAATTAATAAAATTAATTTTTTGTTGTTAATTATTTCATGATTTTTAATACATATTTTGGCAAAAATAACAACATAAATATTTACATATTTTGACTTTTTTATTACATAAAAATCCGCGCCCTAAATATTATCATGTAATTTTTCACTTTAAACTAAAGTAAATTGTTAAAAGTTAATGTAGGTATCTATTTTACATTGGGTCTTACCTATACAGTATACAGGGTGATTTTATGCTCACCTTATTTTTAAGCTTAAATTATTTATACATTCAAATTCTTATTTTAGATTCTGAGTGAAACGATGAATGTATTGATTTTACAATGATGTGTGTTTTTTTATTTTTTTATTTTTTTTTGTATCTGTGTACACGATAAGTAGTCGAAATAATGCTTCGATTTTCGACTTCAGTATCTTGTTCGATTGGAAAGTGAATATCGTTGGTGCATTGGGGAGGTCAAAATTTAAATTTCCCAGTAGTTTTCACAAGCGCCGGGAAAAACAACATAAAAATTAAGGAAAAACGGGAATTTTTACGCAAAATTGATTTTCCAAAAAATCGATTTTGGTTATTGGTGTAA